GGCTCTTCACCAACACACTTCTGTACGAGGTCGGCCGGCGGTAGTGATTACTCACGATACAGACGTGGAGAAGAGAACTGAAGTGTGTTGGTTCGGGGACTTTAAGCCAGGCATTCGAAGAAGATAATTACAAGACAATGAGAGACATAACGCTGCACCCACTTGTTCCTAGCCTCTCCCTCCCCGGGCAAAATAGCTGAATCTCTGAAACGGATAGAGTGACCGTCTCTTTCGCTATGACTTCTACAGGGTGTTCCGCGCTTAGAGTGAAGGAGTTGAAAAAAGTGAACCCCGCCAAGCTAGTTATATTGGATATCAGCCTCCGCAGTACAAGTACGTGCAGGCGTAGGGAATGAGAAATATAGCTCTCGCTTTCTTTGTTCCCGTATAGTGCCGTTCTCCTGGTACGCTTATTTATTGCACTTTACTAGCCCCACACTGTTTGATTGGGCCCCCTCGGAAGAATGGATGCCGAGTGCGTAAAACACTTATAGTAGCGAGCCGGGGAATTGAGCGAGTATCTTATCTGCAAAATACCAAAGACGTTTCTCTGGCTTCCCGAGTGCTCCTGAAACCTTCCGATAGTCAAATCTCATTATTTCAGCCATTCAGATTTAGGTAGTTAATCATAAACAATCACTCATTAGCTGGCTGATACTCATGGCATCTGCATCCATGCCTGGTCTCCAAAGCGGGACCTCAGTCCGAATGCACGAAGGACTAACACGAACAATGTATCTATCCTCTCCTAGGACGAGTTCACATTACAGGCGGTTGGGATCTCCCTAGACACCGCGCTTGTATACTGCTGTAGTACTCTACTTGGTTACGATAGTGGACCAATTTGACTCTTCTTTCATTTCCTTTCATTTTCTTTTTCGGGCTTCTGTGGAAAAGAGACACCGGATACGTCCCCGGTTTATCTCTCGGGATTGATCCGATGCAGATCTAAGAGACGCAATGACAAACCGGTGGACAGGCCGTTGGATTCAATCTTATTGGTACGCGGCCCCATATTTCGTCTCCCCCCTTCCAATCCCGGAACGTACCGCACAGAATATCGGTCGGCAGATGTGCAGGCTTTTTTTTCCGCCTTTCCTTTCAACACGTTTCCCAAAACGCAGACAATCCATCGGGGACGGTATCTTGCGTCTGTGTGAAAAAGGTGCTGTATCCAAGGCTAGAAGCTTGCAAAGGAAACCCGGTTTAGGAGGTGTCTGAGACTCGTCTAGAAAAAATCCTGGCTACTCACTTTGTATCATTGCTACCGGGGTTAGCCCTGTTTAGCATGATTCATGGTTCGTCCGTTCCCGGTATTCATTCAGTATCGGTACTGTAACTAGTGGCACATTTCCTGCGCCGTATCTTAGTAATCACTGGTACAGTACGCCACAGATGAGCATTGTGCCCTACCGTAGTTTTACATGTACCACAGCCCCTGAGAAAACACCGTTCTCCGGGTTGTTAGTAGATCGATGTGCTATGCCGGTAGCGTCTTATTCATTTATCGCGGTGTCGAGAGGTCTATAGTATGAGAATAGCGAGCTTCCCCGCGCCCTCATCAATTCACCCACCCAGAGTGATCTCTGAAGCACCACCAATCGAGATACCACCGAGTCATGCCAGAAAGGAAGGAACGTCGTGTTGCCAGATATACACTGCCAATTCCGCCTGTAGATGTTCAGTATTACTCGAGCACTGTACTGCCATTATTAACTCGGTTAGCTGGAAGGTTACCTTTCCGGAGAATATTTCAAGAAAACATCACAACAGCCTTCATAGCGCCACTCATTGGCCCTCTTTTACCCAACACAACTAAACACCGCCATTTCCACAAATAATTACGGAAGATATAAGATTGCTCGTTGTCATTTCCAAAGTGACAGATATCCCCCCACAATAGCCCGGTTGGAGATATAATGGATGGTCTTATATCTCCCTTGGTATGTCTCGGATGACAAGTCCGGTACCGATATCACTTGAGTAGGGTTCGCGCTTGTTGTCATTCCGCCGTCCCATTAAAAGACAAAGCACTGCTGGCCTGACTCGAGAACCTCCTAACAAATTAGCCGTGCTATTCAACCGAAAGCTTGTCTGAACGCAAAGTAGGCCAATTCCCTGACACCAACGATCAAGTGGATTCCTAGCCTCCTCAGGTCCGAAGCGAACTGTAGCTCATAGAACACCTTGTAGCTCGCGAGCAGCACCCCCACAAACCTGGCCGTGGCCTGCGGCTTAAAAAATAAGAAACAAATCTGCTGCTCGTTGCCCAGATGTCCCCCGGTGAAATCCAGATCACCAGTCAGCAAGGGTTGCTTTCCGGACGAGCGGGCTCCCCACCAAGTATCCACGGGGTCGATGAGGCGGCTAAATGGACGTTCGGCGAACTGTGTTTGCTAGCGCTACTCGTATGATGCACGCTTGGCCAAGGATAAGGTTGGGGGATTTTGGTGATGGTAAACGCATTGAGTCGGGAGTGGTATATTTGTCATGTAATGTGGCGAAACAGCGTTCAGCCAACGAGAATACAGGTAGGGAGTGCCGAAAAGATAGCGATGTAGTTGTCCCGGGACCTGTATAATCACGGCATCGCGTTCCGCTTGGTGGGAGACGTTTTGAGCTATGACAGCGGCGTACGGAACGGTGGAGTGGGGTTTTAGCATAACTATCCCGGCGCTCAAGCCCGCCTTCAAACGAGCTACCGATGGCAGAGACCCACAACAGGGCAGTCCGAGACCGGGACCCTAAAAGAGTTTCTCCCCTATTCAGTTTGAAGCAACTCGAAGCACTAACCCACAGCATGTTTTAGGGGAGCCCGGGGCGGGAACAAGGCTTGGTTTGTTCAAGTGTTCAAGGGATACCGTGACAGGTCCGTTTACCTTCATGGGCCGGAAGAAGATTGGAGGGCCACCTAAAACTCGAATGCAACGTCCCCGAGTCAGGACACTCCCTTAATTCCAGCACATTAAGTGGCCGGTAGTATAGTAGTCCGGCGGATCCTCGGCCTGCCCCGGCCGGGTTCTTTCGTTCAAGCCATCCAGGGTCAATGATAAGGGGCCGTGCCTACGGCCAATTGTGGTGAACCAGGCACTCTAGCGAGAGGCTAAATTGAAAGAAGAAAAAAAGAAAAAGAGAGAATCCGCGTTATGGCTGAGAATATGGGTTGGACGTAACTCTCGCGAAGTAGTTGGAGAGGAAAGGGGGATGGCAGATGCATGGTGCCGTGGAAACAGGTTCATATCGCAGTTCAAGCCAACTTTCGCAGTACCGGTGCCTGTACAGTGTTAACACGGCTCGGTTGCTTCTTTCACGGGTTAAAAATTTTCAAGCCCTCGTGACATTGCAATTATAACAGTGCGAAGAAGTTGTGAGTTGTATACTATATATACTTGCATATATATATATTTATATGTTACATATATAAAATACTGCCGATCACCAAAACTCCGGCTTCGCATGTGCACCCACTCGGTTGCGTTTATTTATTTATTTATTTACTTACTTGTACAGTACCGGTACTCGAGTATATCATTCGTGACAGGATCCTACGGGAAATGAACCACTCTTTTCTCCCCCGTAAGCGGCAACCTAACCACAGTGTAGCTATGACTCAGGATTAGATCTGGGGGAAAAGAGGCGTTCCGCCACGATGCTCGGATCCGTTGCTGTCCTCATTCCACAACAAAGCCGGGACAGTACTCGTACTGTGGACACGGTTTCATACGTGCTCACGGCTCGGATACCACCACATTTTCGGCAGGGGTTGAGCCACGTCCGCACAGTGCCATCAGAGTTCTTCCGTTTGGGATGGTAAATAAATGCCCATTCCTCAAGATCGGAAGGAGGCTATCCTCCCGCAGTGGTCCTTTCATATCATGAATACCGCCCAGGCTACTGGCTGTTCCCCGTTAGTTACAGTCAAGGCCCGCCCCCATACCTGCCAACCCAAGTAAAGCCCTTCTGCTCGTACGAGAAGCCATGCCCCTTTCCGACGGCGCTCGGGTATCAGCTGGGGAGTCCATTGTACTCGAGTACTCGTATAGTACAGTATCTGGCAGACCCCCGAGGAGACATCACAGCATCTCACCCGGGAACAAGCTGCAGGAGTCACAACATGTCACTGAAGGCACTTTTGGTGCTTCTGGAAGGTTGGGGCGGTAATTTTAGGTATAAGAAGCTTGACGGGAGCACCGCCTCAGCCCCTTGCAATCTCTCCTTTGTTTTCTTTCAATGCTCAAAGATTGGGTTGAACGAAGAGGAAAAGAGGGAAAAAAACGTGTCTACCCTGAAGAGGACATGACATCGGTTGTAGAGTCAACTGCTTATCAATATGAAAAGTGTGAATTTGTCCGGAATACGGGTTAGTTTTAATAATGCCTTCATGGGGTTAAGTTAATGAAGCGTAAGCCACCTCTCTTTTTTCCCCTCTTCTTCCTTCCCCCTGCGTGCAGCGAACTCCTCGTTTTTTTTTTCGTGCCCATGCCCCATACCGGTATCACAGAACCAGGATGATGCGCTGCAAGGTAAATACCCTCATCCTCCGAATCCGATACCACGGCTAAACGACTCGGGGTGGGATGGTGGATTAAATTAAATTAACCGAGAAAGGGGCAGGGGTACCGGAGCGATCAATTAAGGGAGGCCATGTACTCGAGTACGGTACCGTACTAGTACTGTACCAGTATTCGTACTCGTACGGTGGTAACTACTTGTACGAGTGCGGGTCCCATTCGCAACCCGAGCCGCATATTGGCATCGCTACCGTTATGAGGAAAGGGTAAGCAAAGCTCTGTTCAGACTACAGTGACTACCGTACCGTACTCGAGTACAGTGCACCATCCCAGCGAATTGAAAAGCGCTTCTCGGGTTGAGGTATGCCGGAACCAATCAAAGAATATTACACTTTTTCCTTGCTAAAGTTCGGACGGGGGGGGATAGGGGAGCGGAGAGGTTTTTGGGGAAGAAGGGGGAAGAGGAAACAAGAGAAAAAGAAAATAAAAAGGTTCTGGCAGATTCTAGATTCTTCGCTGTATCCACACCAAGGCATGCTGACTGTACTTGAGCTCCTTGACTTGGAGACTTGCAGCAATGGGATCTTCGCAACGGGAGGTACCGTCGAAAATGGCCTGGTATCGCGATCACACGTTTTGCGTTTTGAGAATACCGGTACGGGTAGAGGGGAAGAAGGGAAGAGGGGAAGAAGGGAAGAGGGGAAGAAGGGTGTACCGTAGGAAGGATGAAGCGGGTGCTGGTACCGGTAGAGCACATCTGTCGCCCCCACTGACGGCAGGAGAGTGTGCGGGCACCATAATATCGCACCGGCACTGTATTGCGGAAGGCTGGATACCGGTACGTTGCGAGTCCTCTTTTGGGGGTCGATCGCATTGCGAGAGCCTTTCTCATTTCCGCTTCCCTTTCCAGAGAAAAGCAGACAGGATGGCGCCAGGCGCGTCGATCCCTCATTCCCCAAGGCAGTCGGTGCGGCAAAATTCTCCGACCGTGCCTGCCACCCCACCTCCTGTTCCGATTGGTGGGAAGCGATGCGCAACCACAACGATCAGGGGGAGTACTCGAGTACGAATACCCGAGTACAGTACCGGTGATGGTTCAGAGTCCCCCCCTTCTTCCCCGTCCCTTTTTTCCCTTCTGTGCGTGCGCTTCATACGGGCTCACGGGGGCAGGAGAAACGTAAGGAAGGGTAAAGGAGAGACCGTTTTTTTTGTTGTTCCAATTTCTGACCCTTTACATCTTTAGCCATCTCACCCCACATTTTGGGATGCAGGCAGGAAGATTGTGCTGCTCTGGCCTTTCTCGCCCCTGCATCTTGGCTGGTCCTTCTCCCATGACCACCCTTCTCGGTGGATTCGGGAATCCGCAATTCACTCCCAACGGGTGTTAAGCCTGGCCTACCGTAGTCCGATCGAATGCAGGGGAACATAGTGTCTTTCTTTTGGTGGGCTATGTTTGGCTCTCTTTTACACCTTCTGTCATTCAATTTTACGCAATTCCTCACGCAACCCTTTTTTCTTATTTCCATATTTTCTTGTTTTCTTATTTCTCATTTTCCTCTCCCGTTTCGTATTCTTGCCGTCCTCGCCATTTCGTGGCCTTCCTTGGGGGGGGGGGGCGCTTTCCGGTCTGTGGCACTCTGCTTGGGTCCGGGTTCTCCTCCTCCCTTTTCATCACATCATCGTCATCCACGGCCGTCGCAGTGTACCCATACTATATCTCAAATGCAAACGCGCCGGCTGGCTCTCCAAAACTCTCGCCGATGCACATGATGTTAGGGAATCAGAGGGCGTAGATATTATTGGAACTGCTTTTAGAGTGGTTTGTTTGGATTCTCGTTTTTCCTTTTCCTTCTCCTGCATCCACACTGCACTCCCCGCACACTTTTTCATTTTGGGGGGAGTCCTGATTGTGTTTGCGTGTGCTTGCCGCACTTGCCTATCTGGCGTGTGAGTGGGTGTTCGGATTGGACGTTCAAGGGATCGACGTTCCCCCTTGTTACTCAACTGCATTCGGGAAGGGTTTGACCATCCGCAAGGGGTGCACGAGGTTTCCATATCCATTTACACATTGCCGATTTGGGCGGAGGAGGGAAATTTTGTCATGTTGCCCACCCGAAAAGGCATTTATAGGGCGAATCCGGCTCCCCAGCGTCTACCCCCCCATCTGGATGTCTGGTCTATCATACCCTGTTCGGGAAAGGGTGTGGAGGATTGGAGAGAGAGCTTTCCCATATCAGGAGCAAGCGTTCCTCCCGTCTTGCCAAGAAAAGGTTATTCTTTTCTCTTCTCGCTCCCACGCTGATTTTGTCCCGGCAGAGTATGGTACCGCACTGTAGCCCACGTCTCTCTGCTCCAGCTTATCGACTTTGCCCTTCTCGTGCCGGCTTGGCTTGGACCCATTTTTGGTCTGGCATCGTGCTTGTCTGCTTTCCCCGATATGCGGTTACCTTGTTGCAACCGTTTCGAAGTAGCAACATCTTAAACGAGGGACAATTTTGACCTACAAGCTTCCTACGAGTCCCTG